TGGTTTATTGTGGGTACTCATAGCCCGTAGGCCCGGCCAAAAATATTCACTTTGTACCCCTATAAACGGGTTCAGGGCTAGTCCACCTCCCTGGACGAAACCTTGCCCTGTGACAAAGCCTCGTCCGGGTTCCTCTATGCCGAGGTAGAGCGTTCGACCGAAATGAACAGTCTGGTCGATCGTACCTCTAAGGCTTTCTCTCCAACTAATCTTATAGTAGGTAGAAGAGTCCAATACAGACTCTTTAGAGGGAGGACACCACAACAGCAATAAAGTTAAGATTAGATTAAATTAAAAATTAATATAAACATTAAATTTTAGGTTAACAGTTTAATCAGAAATTTAGATTGACTAATTCTAAAATTAACTGATCAAGAACTTTATTATTTCAAGATTATCCAGAAATATATTCTATAGTTTTTAGGGATGTGCCAGTTTATTAGTTAAGTTCAATGCTGATGAAAAAATATCCCCGATCACACCCACGTACAAATATATTAATAATTTGACTCACCAACATTCAAGCATAAAGGCACTAATAAATCTATACAAAACAACCATCAATATGTTACATACACAACCATAACGATAAAATGTGAATCAAATGAAAGTAAGAAGTGCATATACGTGTATATGTACGATGCCTACTTATACGGAGTCGAAATACATATATAAGGCTATAGACTTGGGCACCTCGAGGTGGTGTAATGGTTAGCAAGCTTGTCTTGCTAGAACAATTACAGCTGAGTAGTGAGTTCGATCCTCACTGGGTGCCCCATACATTCGGCCTTGTGCCACATCTAAGCCACGCTTGGAAAATCACTATAAGGCTATAGACAATGCAAAGAAAAAACATACGTACACACATTTATACATAGACACACACACGGATATATATACATAAATACGAACAACCAAACTCACAGGTGCAAAGAAAATACGCACACAAACATACACCCACATATATAGAAATATAAATATACATATAGAAGCACATACAAGTACCAACATATACACAAATGTATATATACACACATAAACACACACACACACATATATATATATATATATATATATATATATATATATATATATATATATATATATATATATATATATATACATGATACATATACATATCACACACATGTACAAATATATGTACAAATGTATATACACACATATATAAACAGATATAGAAACAACCACGCATACATACTCACATGTAAAATTAATGCATAAACGGTTACAATAAACTATCTATATCAGATTAAAACGCTAGTAAATAAGGGTAGTTTATAATTAAAGTCGGCACTCAGGTTGCAAAATAAATAAATTTAAATAAAATAAAGAACCAATGCATAATATTAATATTACTAACTTACAATTTCAATATACTATCATTCATAATATTATTACTTATCTTGCGAGGTATAGATTGAACTATGTCTACAGTTAACTGTAAATTCATTCCTTCAGTTTAAGATATTAGTCCTGTGCTTAAATCTAATAATTTCCAATTTTTCATGGGAATAAAGATAATATAGTGCATATAGAGAATTACAGGTTCGAGCTGTTTTATGTAGTTTCCATTGTTGGAGTTTTATTTTTCTCTTTTAAACTCCAAAAGTACTTCGACAAGGAAGTACTATTTTTATAAGTACTATTGTTGAAGGATAGTACATGGTGATGCCATCTAGTTCTAAACGAGTTTTTTGTGCTTCCAATGTAGAATTTTTTAATACTCGGGTTTTCACGTGTAGAAATAGCAACAAAATAAACCAAGGAACAAGCTAATTATTTTGTAGTGGGAAATTATCGGAAATGCTGCAGTTACATTTGCAGGTATTATTATTATTATTATTATCATTTACTGCACCATTGCTAAGCGACCTGCTTTTTCAATTTTTATATTTGCTGAAGTCTTTGTTATAAATTTGAATATATATATATATATATATATATATATATATGTAATAAAAAAAGACATTTCGCATCCGTGGCGAAATGAGAAAAGAATATAAATCTGTACCGACAGTAACGTTTAATGTTCAGTCAATGAATTCCAAATGTTTCCTTGTAAGGAAATTGGTAACCTCACTATTAGCATTATGCATTTTAAGCTATAAAATACCGAACCTTAACGTCAGATATAAGAATCTTGTATTCAGCCTGTATTTGTATTTCTGAAATGAGCTATTGTAACTATTTACATTGTTCGGACTGTTGTCATCAACTTTATTTTCTTATTCACGAAGTTTCTCCCGTTGTACGCCCCTGCCTTCTTCAGGTGATGTACGTTGGAACATGGAGGGGAAAATGGAGATCACCACCATCTGAGGGATGAAGTTGAAGTAATAGACAGAGAACATCACTGGAAAATACGAAAACTTAAGGAATCAGTGCATATGCTAGACCACAAAAATCTCCTAAGCCGGCCACGCATAGACATGAATACAATAAGGGAAGTAAGAATACAGAGAAGTAGAGAAAAATAACACTAAAAAATATTGTAATATGAGCTTTAGTAAAAAATAATAATGAAATATTAAGGTTTATAAACTTTTGGCCCAGTGGATAAAAGCGTTGGTTGCAGCAATTCAAAAGTAACTTCCCCCAAAGGGTTGTGAGTTCAATACATGGCCGCACCAGGATTGAAAAAACTTGGAGGGTTAAGTTACTAAAGGGATTAAATGAAAACTGAGACATCCTGAAAAGGCTTGACATTTGGAACTAGAACCAGCGACTACTTCGGTTTTAAATTCCAACGTATATCACCTGAAGAAGGGCGTAACGTACAGCGGCCGAAACGTCGTGAATATGACAATAATGTTGTGGACAAAAGTACGAACAATGTAACTGGTGAGAATATAGACTTGTCCATAACTATTAACAGTTTCATGAGGCTGGTTGCTCAGGAAAGAACACAGTTGTTTTCGTAAATGATCCTTGTTGTCAACGCAATACATTTGTCTTTCGAAGTCAGCGGTAAATTAGAAGAGTTATTTATTGGTACTGGATGAAAGTGGGAACGCTGGATCAGTACTATGCTGGAATCTTTGGCGCGCTGAGTGACTTTTATTTGGCGTAGCAGCTATCAATTTTCAGAAGGCAGAAAGGTTACACAGAAAAAGGACAGTGCGTGACGCGAGCCACGAACTGGCGAGAGAAAGATCAAGTTAGGGCAGAAATTTAATTTTCTGTGAATCCGTTATAGCAGATGACAGAAAATGTGACACAGAATCACGAAGGCGCATTGGAATAGCGAAAGATGCCTTCCAAAAGTTAAGCAAAATATTAAGAAACAGTAAAATATCTGGGAAGTGTTTTAACAGAGGACGGAAAGGGCGACACTGAAATCTGAAGGCGCATTGGGATAGCGAAAGATGCCTTCCAAAAGATAAGCAAAATATTAAGAAACAGTAAAATATCTGGGGAGTGTTTTAACAGAGGACGGAAAGTGCGACACTGAAATCCCAAGGCGCATTGGAATATCGAAAGATTCCCGGCAAAAGTTAAGCAAAGTGTAAAGAAACAATAAAATATCAGTGTCGAGTTTTAACAGAGGACAGAAAGTACGTCAATGAAATACGAAGGAGCCTTGGATAGTGAAAGATGCCTTCCAAAAGCTATGCAAAGTATTAAGAAACAGTAAAATATCTGGGAAGTGTTTTAACAGAGGACGGAAAGTACGATACTGAATACGTAAGCGCATTGGAATATCGAAAGATTCCCGGCAAAAGCTAAGCAAAGTGTAAAGAAACAATAAAATATCAGTGACGTGTTTTAGTAGATGACAGAAAGTACGTCAATGAAATACGATGGAGCCTTGGATAGCGAAAGATGCCTTCCAAAAGCTAAGCAACATATAACGAAACAGTAAAATATCAGTGAAGTCTTTTAGCAGCAAAGTATAACGAAACAGTAAAATATCAATGAAGTCTATTAACAGAGTACAGAAAGTATGTCAATGAAATACGAATGAGCCTTGAATAGCGACAGTTGCATTGTAAATGCTAAGCAAAGTATAAAGAAACAATAAAATATCTGGAAAGTGTTTTACCAGAGGACGGAAAGTCCGACACTGAAATACGAAGGAGCATTGGAATAGCGAAAGATACCTTCCAAAAGCTAAACAAAGGATAAAGAAACAGTACGATCTCTTTAAAAACAAAGAAACGAGCGAATAAACTGCTATGTAGTACAAGTTTTATTATATGATAGTGAATGCTGGACAAATTTGCCACAGGGGAAGAGGAGGCTTGGGACGTTAGTGATATGGCTCTACTGAACAATCATAAGAATACCATTGCTTGAACATGTGAGAAAGGAGGAAGTTTTAAGGAGACCTTTAATAAGAATGAAAAAAGTGACTGTTTGAAATTTCAGAGACACATATAAAGGAAAACAGCTTGTAGATGTTAACCCTCATAATATATGCTGAAGGCAAGAGAAGCAATGCGTAACATCGAGTAGCCTACCTAACGAGCTTGTGTAATTGGTTTGCAGAACAGAAACTGGGAGCGGTAAACGTTGCTTAGTGCTGCAAATGCTTGGAAGTTGTGGAGAGCGATGATCGCCTACGTCATGAAGGGCTACGAGAAATTTTTAAGGAAAATAAAATAAAAAAGGGACACTGCTATTTACAATGAGAAAACGATGGCTGAACTTTCTGGGATACATAATGAGGAAAGAGGGTTTGAAGAATTTAACTCACACATGGAGTGTTTTTACGGCTTATGAAACTTTTTTTTTTCAGGTTATTTAAGGCCAGAAAATATATTTAGATTTCAAGAATTCTTTTCTGGGATAATAATTTACTCATACAAGTCCTGCTAATTAACCCATAGCTAGGAGGAAGAGATGGATTCATACCTTTCCCAATGGCTAAATTGCCCGTAAATGAATATAAAGAACCCAAGTGAAATTGGAACTCGGCTCTCCGGTTTCCGATTCAGAGCCGCTATCGATTACGCAACAATAAGTAATCAATATATGAGGCTTACATCACCTGGTATTCCAAAGCGGTCACCCATCTAAGTAATGACCAGGCTCGACGTTGCTTAACTTCGTTGATCGTACGAGAGCCATTGTTTGAACGTGAAATGGACGTTCAAGCCCCTTGAAAGTCAATAAGAGCATTAAAGACTCAGTAAGGACACTATTAAACGAGCTTGGGAGAATTATCAGCAGAACATTGAATGGGAATGGTAGTAAATTGACCAGCATTGTTAACTGTAATAAACTATAAGAAATCATAACGAATTATGACTGCTCACATCACATATGTAAGTCCATAAGGTTTACACTTTATTAATCTCATTTCTTTTTTTTTAATTTTCTTATTCTGAATCGAGGCGGCAAGAAGATTCTGTTGCAATAAATTCTCCTCTTATATAAATCGGTTTCTTGTTTCACTTCTTCACTTTTGTAATCTTCTTGATAAGCTAGCTTCATTGACTTTCACTCGCTGTCATTTTTCTTTTCGCATGCCATTCGTCCGTTCCATTCAATTCTGTTTCCGTCAAACCTTTCAAAGCTGCGAAAAGCAAATACAAGATCGTGTTGATGAATAGGCATCAAGCGGCTTAAATGCCCAAAGTAAGTTGGATACAAAACCAGACTTGTAAACAAATCTCACAGTCGCAATAATAACCTTTGCTAAGGTCGATTGACAAAATTCTCTAAATTACCTTCGGCTTGTGGGTGATTTTCTTAGCGCAGCTTAGATGTGGCACAAGGCCGATGCTATGGGGCACCCAGTGAGTATCGAACATTTTGCCTTTGTTGTGAATTGTTTGCTAATACGTGAGACTCTAGTTTAGTTTCGATCGGGTAGGATGGAACGGCCGTCCAGTGCTTTCTGAATTCCCTCCTAATTTCTAACACTTGTATATCCTTGCTTGAACCGGCTTCTAATGCTCTGCATGGAGCGGCTTGGGGATAGTATTCGTGGCTCGTAGGGGCACAGTCCTAAGGGCAAATGAGAAACTCGGATGAGTTCCACCACGGAATATGTGATGGAGCGGCGCTTTATCGAGTCTAATTCGCTACCTCTCGTCACCGAGGCGCGTTGGAAGAGTTGGTATGACGTTTGGCTGATGACAACTGTCCGGGTTTCAATACGGTAGTGAATGAGCACTGCTGATGAGTCCCAAATATAGAACGAATCAGCCGTCTAGTGCTTTCTGCATTCTGTTGAGGTTTCTTCTAGACTCGATGAATTACTTAATAATAATGATCTCAAATCCTCCTAATTCCTATATATGCTTCGTTCTAATTATTTATTGCTTTTATACACGTGACACGTATCTGACCAATAAGAATTAACCAAAAATCTTAACAGACAAGTACTCTGTCACTTTGCTTTTTTCATTTTTCTCTCGATCTCTGAAGATGCTTTAATAAAAGTAAAACATGTTAGGCTGAGTTAGCTTTCCTGCTTGTTCTTTATTTTAATTTATCATTTTGTCGGATTCCAATCCATATATATATATATATATATATATATATATATATATGTGTGTGTGTGTGTTTGATGGGTAAATTGTCGCCATTTTTTATTCTCGCGCATGCACGTTGTTTGTTTTTGATTTTGTCGATCACACAGTATGACAGAGTCAGTTGAACACCGTCTGTGACGCAATTCGCCTCGCCACTAATTGGGAAACGGCATGCTGTACTACTTGTCATTCGCACCGAAAGCTCCAATACGAACATTTGATTGTGTTTGGATGTCAATCAGATGACAATGCAGACGATTGAGAAAGAGTTGGAGGAGTCTAATGGTGATTAGGCAGGTGTTTGGGTGATCACAAGTGAAGACGATGTTATGCCTCCATTCATCTTCTCATAGAGCCTCGGACTCCACACGGAGGCCTACGTCAAGTGCATTGAAGAAGTATTGTTCTGGCTCAAGATGATGGCTGCTAGAAAATCCTGTGTCTGGCAACAGGACTCTGCACCATGCCAAACAAACAGGAAAACCCAGTCATGGCTGTCAGACAATTTCTGCGACCACATCACCCTTTACATCTGACCATCTAAACCCCAGACTGCAACCTCCTTGATTATAATGTGTGGGCTGCAGTTGAGTGAGAGACCAACAAAACTCCTTGTAAAACCAAAGATAAACTGAAGGCAAGGATTATCGCAGCATTCACCGATTGAGTGTTTTAGTGTAATTTTAGTAAGTATATCATTTAAAATGAGATGTCAGTATTGTTTTCATGTTTACGTAATTTACATGACAATTTATTCATCGTACCATATATATATATATATATATGTTACATACCGTACCTATAAACACTGATAGGTATGCCCCCCCCTCCCCAATCCTCATAAATATGTTAGACACTATTGTAAGTGTGGGTAATATGATGTCTAAGTAGTTCACCACTAACAGTGGTTTACCTAATTCACACCGCTGGCGAGTATTGTATATTGATCCTATAAATATTACAATTTCATTTACACCCTCTGTTATGGTTATTCCTCATTCAGTAACCATTTATAGATTACAACAATATATATATATATATATATATATATATATATATATATATATATATATATATATATATATATATTAGTGGAAAATATACATACGTATGCAAAATATATAAATACCCATACATGTATATTTTCAGAAAAAATTTCAAGAGGAAGAATCCAGGTAGAACTCAATGTCTAGGATTGAGTAAGGATATAATAAAAAGTCATTCAAAATGAATTTCCATGGTCTAATGAATTGGATCATATTTACGATTCAATGGAATAAATTTATGATCATGGAATATTAGTGTTTAAGCCTTTTTATTATATATATATATATATATATATATATATATATATATATATATATATATATACTGCACGACGTCACGGTCTCTCCCTCTGCTCTAGATTCATTAGTAAGATTTTGATCTAAACTATTCTTCGCTTAAATTCTAAAAATATATTCTACCTTTAAATAGCATGACGATGGCTGATAAACCTTAGAAAAAGAATCAATCACTATTTCAAACACGTGCTTATTATTTCTGATCAGGTAACCATATGAATTTTTTAAACGATATGTGAACATTTATTTCGGGTATGAAAATTAACCAGATAACATGGACATAGATATTATGTTTATAGACTATAATGGCTCGTACAGTAGTCACAAGTTGCTGGGGTTACACTCTGATGGTGTCGATAGAGTAAAGAGAATTCTTTAACGATTATAACCAGCGGGTATGATTTACGTGCGTATAAGTCATATCGTAATAGAATTAAAATATTAAGACTATAATTTAATTAGTTTAAATGGCACATGCTCCGAATAAGAATTGATATTCCGGGGAAAATGTCGAAAAAAAAAAAAAAAAAAAAAAAAAAAAAAAAAAGTATTTGAAATTTGAAAAAGGCAAGAGAATGCTTATAGGAAATTATCGACAAATATTGTCTTGATGAGGAATATTAGAAAAATCAAAATTAAAATCATAAAAGGGAAGGAAAACAAAGAAGGAAAAGAAGTAATGAAAAAGTGGAAAGCAACGAGAAAAGTAGAAAAACGTGTAGAGGAAGTATAGTATTGGGCAAAACAAATAAAAAAACATGATTTGTATTGGAACAAAAAATAAGAAAAAAAGAAAGAAAGAAGTAAATAGTAAGTAAAGAAAAAGAGTAAATGTAACGAAAGGAGAGATAAGAAAAGGATTCGATGAAATAGAAAGAAAGATAGAAAAAGAAAGAAAAAACAAAGAAAAAAATAGTGGGTGAATTAAAAAGCAAATAGAAAAAATATTGGAACAAGAAAGGATCGATGAAATAGAAAGAAAGATAGAAAGAAGAAAGAAAGAAAAGAAAGAAAGAAAAGGTGGTAAAAGATCGTAGTAAAAGCAAATAGAAAAAGAGTGAGTAACGAAAAGGAGAGGCAAGAAAAGGAGTCGATTAAACGAAAGAAAGAAAAAAGAAAGAACTTCGAAAAAATAAAAAGACTATAAATACGATAAGAAAGAAAAAAAAAGACAAAATGAAAGAAAGAAAGAAAGAAAGACAGAAAGAAAGAATAAGAAAAGTGAAGAACGATAAATAGGATAAGTAAAAAAGAAAGAAAATGAAAGAAAGAAAGAAAAAAAAAGAAAAGAAGAAAGAGAAAAACCATAAAGAAAGAAAAAAAAGAAGAAGAAAGAAAAGAAAAAGAAGGAAGAAAGAAAAAAGAAAGAAGAAAGAAAAGAAAGAAAAGAAGAAAAGAAAAGAAAGAAGGAAGAAAGAAAAAAAAAGAAGGAAAGAAAGAAAGAAAGCGAAGAAAGAAAGAAAAAAAGAAGGAAGAAAGAAAAAAAGAAAAGAAGAAAGAAAGAAAGAAGAAGAAAGAAAGAAAGAAGGAAAGAAAGAAAGTACTTGGAAGAAAGAAAGAAAGAACTTGGAAGAAAGAAAGAAAAAGAAAGAAAGAAAGAAAGAAAGAAAGAAGAAAGAAAGAAAAAAAAGGAAGAAAGAAAGAAAATTAGTCGATGAAATGGAAAAAATAATGAAAGGAGGAGAACAAAAAAAATAAATACATAAAATATATAGGAAGGAAGGAAGGAAGGTGGATGTTGGTAGAAGAACGTAATAAAATTAAATAGTAAAGCGTGAGTAACGAAAGGCTAAACAAAAAGATGAAAAAGAAAGAGAATGAATGAATGAGAAAAAGAAAGATAAAAAGAATAAACAAAGAGATAAAATAAAATGCACGACGAAAGGCAATTTGAAATGGAAGTAGAAAAGAACGATGGAAAAATTAAAATAAAAGAAAGTATTCGGGCTGAAAAAAGAAAGAAAAACAGATTGAAAAAAAAAAAAAGAATTATGCAGCTTTACGCAATTGGAAGCCATGATGACATTAAACGTAATGTAAGCTTATATTCTTTTTCGAAATGTGACACTTTTGAAAAATTATACCAACAAAATTAGGTATATTTTGACGATAATGATTTTAATAAAGTTATATATTTCGCTTCCAATCTTATGTTCAAGTACTTCACCATCACTTAAAGACCATTGTGTGAATCAACGTTGAGGCTTTAATTATTAATGTGAATGTTAACTATCCTATTTCGCGTGTTTTTCTATTAACAGGCGGATATTCCTAAAGTACTACTTAAAAATCCATAAATATCTAAAACACAACTGGTGGCTATTTCGATAGTCCCACATAGGAAATGATTAAATGAAAGAAAATACACACAGATACGTCCATTAACCAATTTGGATGGGCATTAGGAAAATGGTTTCCCTTGACATAAAAAAAGTAAACAAGTTTTAAAAAATATGTCTTGAAAATACATGTGAGCAATCTAAGTATAGTTTAATGCAATTTAGGCTTATGGAACGAGGAAGAACACGAAAACATTCCCCATCTCCTTAAAGAACGGCCTCACACATTTTCAATTTATGAAAATGCATGACGACTGGATGTTTCCAAAATGGTCTCACATGATATTGAATGATAAATCGGAATTGAACATTTGCAAGTAATTTAGATGATTAGAGTGCGTAGGAATATCATGTTAAATTAGAAGTATATATTAATTGAAATCAGTAAAAAATTATAGTACATTAGTTTATGTTAGAAATTTAGAGTATATTAAAAGATTAGTGTATATTAGACGATTAGCGGCTTGAAGTATATTTGCGTGCATTGGGATAATAGAATAAAGAAAATTAAAAGTATCCATTAAAAGATCAGATTATTTTAGAATTGTCAAATATACTTGCTGATTATATATGGAGAGGCTAGCGTAAATAAGACCAGAGTACATTAGAAATATAAAGTACATGGAAATGTAGCTTTGAATATACGCTCTTTTAGCACTAGAGGGCGTCGTCTGATGTTCTGAATTGGATCATTGGGCAGTTTCGGGTCTTTCAAACATCATATTGAGCTGATTAGACTCTGATACGCCCTCTAAAAAATGCTTGTAGACACTGACTTCTATAAATGTACCCCGTTATCACACATTTGATTGGAAGTTGACCAACAGCCAATCACAACGGCGCGAACTCTATTTAAACTGTTTACAGGTAAATTTTCCTTTTTGAGTGGACACCCTTTTATCGGATACTTAGAAGGTAATTATGTTTTCCGTTTTTACCCACTTCCCATCAAATTTCATTTCACCAGTTAGTAATTACTATTTACAGAGATAATAAGAAAAATTCGGAAATTAAAATTAAAAAAATAAATTACAGCGAATTAAACCAAGAGTGCTTATAAATAATAATAAAACGTTTAAAACATGTTGACAGGTAAAAAAGGATATATTATAAGATTAAAATTTTAGAGTACATGAGAAGATTAGAAATATTGAGTAAATTAGAAGATTAGAGGATAGATCATATATGATGAGTACATTAGAAGATTAGAAATTTCGAGTACATTGGATGATTAGATGTTTAGAGTGCATGAGAAGATTAGATATTTAGAGTACATTAGAATATTAGAAGTTTCGAGTACACTAGAAGTTTATAATAGAAGATTATACTTTTAGAGTACTTTAGAACATTAGAATCTTTGAGAAAATTCGATGATTAGAAGTTAACGTATATTAGAAGATCAGAAATATTGTGCATTAGAATAAAAATTGACTATATTACATTTGAAATTTAGAGTACATTAGAGGATTACATGTTTAGAGTAAATGAGATGATTATAAATTTAGAGTACATTAGACTGTTAGAAGTTTAGGGTGCATTAAAAGATTAGAAGTTTGGAGTACATTAAAAGATCAGATTTTTAGAGTACTTTCGAACATTAGAAACTTTCAGTAAATTAGATGGTTAGAAGTTTAGATTATATTAGAAGATCTTAAATTTTGAATATATTAAATTAAAAATAGATTATATTAGATTATTGAAAATTTAGAGTACAGGATGGTTCGAAAGGCTTGTTACCCGATACCTCTCTCCAAAAGCTCGTGTCAGCCTTCTGAAATAGAAAATTATATTATATAGTGACAAGACTTTCGAACCACCGTGTAAATTAGAGGATCAGAAATTTTAAGTAAATCAGAAGATTAGAAATTTTGAGTACAATAGAAAATTAGAAATTTCGAGTACACTAGATGATTAGAAATTTTGAGTACATTAGAAGATTAGAAATTTCAACTTCATTAGAAAATTAGAAATTTCGAGTACATAAGAAGATTAGAATTTTCGAGTACATAAGAAGATTAGAATTTTCGAGTACATTAGAAAATTAGAAGTTTACTGTAAATTATGTTTATTGAGCAGGATTAGAAATTTATCACTTGTTTATTGTTTAGGATTAGGTTTACCGGTTCTTTCTGAAAGATCTAACCGTCTTGACTTGACAGCTCATTGGCTAAGAATTTTCATCATGAGGGAACCGGGTTGGCAGTTTTCTCATTGCGACATTACTGGTAGAACGGAGCCTGGACTCTAATCAACAGTTGCATAATATCGGGGTATTTGTAGCGTCATGTTGCGCATGGATGGCCAATCCTGTATGTATTTCGGGTGGGCATCGGTGAAGTAATGGATAGCGGCTCGGATTGAGAAATCAGAGAGCCGAGTAATCTATTACGTGCTAATACACTTGGAAAACGTATGAATCCTCTTCTTCTCCCTACTACCAGCTATGGGTAAATAGGACAAACCGGGTTCTGTAGCCTTGGATGGCAACTAGTCTCCCGCAGAAAGGAATGGCAACCAACCGAGGGAAAAAAAAATCTGCTTCATCAGTTATATATCAAAAGATACATGATCGCCTAAGCATGTATCACGCATGACACATAACTGACTGAATCTAAGGCTACATTTTAGCCACATTCTGACCAGTTTTTATTGCCATGGAGAATAGTGATAATTATTTATGCATTTTTCTTTTTAGAATAAACTAGCAGTAGAGCCCGGCGTTGCCCGGGGATGTAACAGTAAGAGATAGATCAAGTATCGACCATCATAAAGACTGAAAAATAAAATTGACAAAGATTATTGTTTAAGGTTGACGGACGCGCATGTCTTAATTTTTTTTTTTACGAATTGGTCAAAACCAAACTTAAACAAAAACATTGTTTTCAATCGTTATGAGTCTACCGATTGAATAGAATTTTATTATAAACAATTGTCTTGTAAATGGAATTTTTAAAGCATTCTGAATGTAAAAATAAAGAAAAAAAGTTTGCAAGACAATATGAAACACTACCTGCCAAAATAAAAGTGAAGTTTTGTTGAAATCGGTTGAAAAATGTAGGAAATCCGATCCCATATATAAACGAACACAGGCAGACACACACAAACAACCTCGGTTTTAAGTATAACTCGATATAAGTTGTCCCGCTTTCATTCTCGCGATGCCTCTTAATCGTGTTTTCAAATTTATTTCGTACAAAAACAATTGTTTTTCCAATTTTTGGCGCTGTCACAACCACCGCAAGATAATTTTACGTAGTCCTGTGAAGTTTTGTTGAAATCGGTTGAAAAATGTAGGGAATCCGATCCAATATATAAACGTACAGACACACAACATGGGTTTTATAATAAGTATGATCTTCTTATGACAGATCAATGAAAAGAATTACATTAAGTAGAAAAAAAAACCTCGCCTACCAATTCAACCTGCATTTCTTTAATATTAGTGACATTCGTACTAATTTCATTAGTGTTGAATCTTTACCTTTGACTCGTCTCTAGATGTTTTCGCATTTTATTATACTAATTTAATTTCTTCTACTGTTAGCAATGAATTCTCTGTATCCAGGCTATTCCCCTCTTTGTTTAATATCTTCTAGCATACATGTGCTTGGCCTTGGCGTTTACATCCGGGAACATATTCCAATTACAAGTTCCCAGATGATTCTTTCATGTAATTTCGGCTTAAGTTATTACGCTCTGTTAGCTAGCTTTTTTTCTTTCATTATTACACTTCTTATTCTCAGAACTGTTACATATTAAGCAAGATTTTTGACGTCTCTCTCTCTCTTTCTCTCTCTACATTCATCTGCGAATATTTTGGGGTTTTCCACTGGCATGAAATGGAATGTTGGTTCACAATGTCGTGCTAAACAATTTATTCTCACCAGAATCTATCTTACATCTGGTCGCGTGCTTTTAGAATCTATTTAGAGATTCTTAATAACATACAAAAAAGAAGCTGCAATGTTATTCGTCCTGACATGGCATCTCGGCTTCAGTCACCTTCCCAATTCCGTAACGTAGCTTCCCTGTGCCTTTGCTATAAATACTTTCATGCAAATTATTCTGAAGAACTTTCCCCAATTGTAACTAGACTATGTATTTATTCATTTTTTTATCATTATTTGAAAGTATTTTTAAAGATTAAATTATACAGGGAAATTAGGGAAGTTAGCGGTATTAAACTGCGATACGTTTGTCTATATTTCTGAGAGGAGGTATTGTCTCTTTCTGAACTTTTCAGGCCTCTTTCAAGTGACTTAAGCCTGAGAGATATCAGTTCGATCCCTTGTATCAGTGGCAAGAACAATAACTTGGAGCGTTATCAAGGCGAATTAACTCAACACTGAGATATCCAAAAGAAAGGTACGTGGATTATAACAACGTACCTCCGTGGAGTAAATGAAGGATCTCGTTCAAAATTCCAACAAATATCAACTGAAGAAGGCCGAAGCGTACAAGAGCCGAAACGTCGTGTATATGACATTAAAGATTAGGATAACAGACCGAATAATGTAAATAGTGTAAATAGTTGCAATAAGTTTAGTAGAGTAGATTAGAAAAATTAAATATATTAAAATTGTAATCTATATTTAAAGTTTTAAATTATAGTAATTTTTTTAAGTAAATTATAGTAGGAATTAACCATGGTGGGTAAAGTGCCATGGTGTGGGTTGTATCAAAAAATTCTACTATTAGCCATGTATTTCATGCACTTGTCTTGGTTTTGCAATATATAAAGTAACGCACCACACCGTTTGACCTAAATGAGCCTATACTGAAGAAAATAACTATATAATTCTACTGCCCAAATCAAGAGAGATAGAAAAGCACAAGGACAGAGAATTAGAGAGAGAGAGAGAGAGAGTTAGAAAGAGGGAAATGAAGAATGAAAGAGCGAGGGTGAGATATGCAGAAAGTTGGAGAGAAAAAAAGAGAAAATGGAAATGAAAGCGAAAGAAGAAATTGAGACATTGAGAGAGAAAGAATGAAAGAGAGGCAGAAAGTGAGAGACAGATTCATTTTAATGGCGATAGGGCTATTAGCACGCAGAGCGTTACAAGGAGAAAAAGGGTATGAGAAGATTTTAAAGGGGAGGATTGAAGAAAGGACACCGAAAAAAAAACAAAAAAACCCAAAACAAAAACAGGGCTCAAGAATGGCAATTGGCGTTGCATATATATATTTTTTAAAAGATTGTAGTTATCAGAGAAGCAAGAAAGCGGAAGGAAGTCCCACAGGTGAGAGGTGCGAGATAAGAAACTGTTAGATGTAGCGGTTGCATCTACTTGTTATAAAAAGAGAAGGAAAAAAAAGTTCACCGACGAAAGATAAAAATAAAAATATAAGAAAACAGTTTGAAGAAATGAAAACGTTAATATAAAAAGAAATGTTTTTAGGGTGAAATAATTAGATATTAGCGGATTATTGTCATGAAATAACAATATACTCGAAAGAAAAGCCGTAATAAACACAATTAAAAAATACAATATTTAATGCTATCTTGGAAGACATGCCAAAAAAATGTAAAACTCGCGGCAAAGAAAATAAGACAAAAGCAATATGGCGCCAAAATAATGATTAACTCAAATCTAAATGGTTTACAGTGATTGCTTTTAAACCAAGCTTCCACCAGACTTAAATAGATCCAAAATAGAGTTCGTAGAGATTTTTCTCTCTAGGATTAATTGGCCTCGAACAGATGATCTTAATCCAACATGGTAGTAGAGGATTACGTCACTCGTGAAGGATAGGCGCCAAACTCACACCTGATTCTGTTGACGATCACAGGTCGGCTTTGGCTGAAAGATAATTTGGATGTGTATATACATACATATATATGCCTATAGACTATCGCATAACTATCGAAAAGAAAAAAGGTGAAATAGAGAGGAAAAAAGAAAAGATAGGAAAGAAGAAAGAAAGCAAGAAATGCATGTAGAGAATAGCGAACAAAAGTACAGTTTGGTAAGAAGAATGGAAGAAAGAGAGAAAGAAAGAAGGAAATAATGAAAGAAAAAAGAAAGAAAGACGGTACTGAAGAATAGGTAACGTAAAAGGAATTACGAACGAAAGAAAGGACGAACGAACGAAAGAATAGGAAAAAATTAAGTAATTACTCAAAAAAGAAAGAGAAAAACAGAAGAAAAACAAAAAGAGAAAAAACAAACAGAAAGAGAAAAAAGAAACAAAAAAAGAAAGAAAAAAGAAACAAAAAAAGAAACAAAAAAAAAAAAAAAAGAAAAAAGAAAAAAAGAAAAAAAAAAAAAAAAAAAAAAAAAAAAAAAAAAGAAAAAAAAAAAGAAAAAAAAAGAAAAAAAAAAAAAAAAAGAAAGAGAAAAAGAAAAAAAAAAGAAAGAAAGAGAAAAAAAAAAAAAAAAAAGAAAAAAAAAACAAAAAAAAGAGAAAAAAAAAGAAACAAAAAAGAAAAAGAAAAAAAAAAGAAAAAAAGAAACAAAAAAGAGAAAAAAGAAACAAAAAAGAAAGAAAAAAGAAAGAGAAAAAACAGAAAAAAGAAAGAAAAAACAGAAAAAAGAGAAAAACAGAAAAAAAGAAAAAGAAAGAAAAACAGAAAAAAGAAAGAAAAACAGGAAAAAGAAAAAGAGAAAGAAAGAGGGAAAGAAAGAGAAAGAAAGAGGGAAAGAAAGAGAAAGAACGAACGAAAGGATAGGAAGAGTATAAGTAATTTGTTAAGAAAGAAAGCAACTTTGCAAGGATAAAAGTTGAAAGAAGGAAAGGATAAACTATAAAGAGCTGCTCGCTGAGACAAAGTAAAAGAAAGAAAATAAAGACGAATAAAGACAGAGAGAAGAAAAGAAGAAAAGAGATGAAGGAATAAATTAAGTAATTAGTTAAAGAAAAAAAGAGAGAAAGACAAAAAGATACAAAGTAGAAGGACATGATCCATTTAAATAAAGAACTCACACACTTTCTACAGAAAGTCAAGTTCCAATTCATGTCGGGTACGGTATATTCCTTTAGGCGAAAATATCCTTAGGAAGGTCATGACTCCACAACTTCTTCATTCCAGTTATAGGTTAATAATAGGACTTGTATCAGTAAATCCTTAATATCGAAAAAATTCTTAAAATATAAAATATTTTCTGATTTTAAATAAACTGCAAAATGTTGATAACCCGTAAAAACAAATTCATAAATCAATCACACACATTCTAAGAAAACAACATATTTGTCTATATTTCTGAGATGAGGGATTGACATTATTTACATCACTTACAATGTTTCGACTATTGGACACATGGTCCAGTCTATAAAAGCGTTGGTTGAATTCATTGACGATATTCAGTCAACCCCGCCACTAGGGCGTCATGTGGCACAAGGCCTTTTTAACGTGGGCTCACCGAGCCCGTAGGCTCGGCCAAAAATATGCTCATTGAACCCGTATAAACGGGCCTCTTTCGGGTTCCTCCTCGCCCGAAGGCAGAGTTCAACCGATCTGTCGTTCAAAACTTGCACGACTGACTCTTGAATTCATTGACTTGACCCAAAGAGTTGTGAGTTCATATATATATAGAGATATATGGCTATAGATGAGGTGAACAAAAAAACTTGGAGAGTTGTGTTAAAGGGAGATAACTGATATTGAGACACCCGGAAGTGACATGGCACATGAACATGGAACTAAAATAATCTATCCCCGGTAGACGAAGTAAAGAGTTCAGTTCGAAATTCCAATCATCTGAGGAAGTCCTGAGCATAAAACGCCCGAAAACGTCGTGAATAATGCAACGAAGAGGAGGATAACTATTTGAATATTGTAAATAAAGCAACACATATATGTCTCAGTTAGCATCTGATAAAAATATTAAATCTGTTTTTCTTTTTACTTGCCACATTTTAAATTGCAGTTCACTAAAATATTAATACGATCATTAATTAAAATTACAGACTAAAATTCATTATAGAAATCTTTATTCATAAAAAACTATATCTCAGTTTATGACCCAATTCGAGACAATTTTTTAAGATTATTTTAATTGGATTAGGATGTCGTTGCTCTTGTTTTTTTTTCTTTCTTTTTTTATGACAACGTTTCGTCCGCTCTACACGTCAGTTATCCATAGGTGACTGTCATTTTTTTCTGGTTTGGATTTTTAAAAAATTATTTTAAAGGTCAGTGCAGTGTTTCATCACGTTATATCAGGTTATTATGCAGCAAGACAGTTGTCTTTCTGTTAATTCTACGCTCAACTCATAACACTCAACGCAATATTGATTATCTAAAAGCATAACTAACATCATTATTGATGTTATGATGTTGATTTGGGGTTAGTAGAGACAAACGCCAAATAACACGTAACAATAAAAAGGTTTTAATAGGTTGGTAAAAAGGTACAGAAATCGCCTGAGTAGTCAATAACTAGCTCAGAATTTCTGTCTGTCTTTTGACATGTCACTATTTAAAGTCTTTGTTCGCAGACAAGTTCATCTTCAAGAGGGGTGGTAGGTTTCCGACACAACACCTCCCCCTTGAGATTAATTCCGGAGGAATTAATCTTTTTCTTTTGGGATCTGGACTTAAACGTTCCACCCTAGTTCTTTTTCTTTTGCTTGTCCTTCTTTGGACAACTGTTTCAGGCAATGGTGGAGTTGGTATATCGAATAAATCATATAATACCTCCATTGGTTCTTCTTTTTCTTTACTTATTTCTTCAATGATTCTTAATTGGTTCAAATGTCTTTTGTGCGTCCATTTTTTACTTATGTACAAGATCTTACCAATTCTTTGGGTTACCACTCCATCTTGCCAAAATTCCTTCCCATTTTTGTAATTTAAAAAAAAAAAAACTTTATCTCCCGGCCTGAAATATTTCATATTTTCCTGATGCGTTTTGTTCTGGTAACTCTTTTTTCTTTCTGGCAGCAGCCTATTGAACACAGATCTCATTTTTCTAGCAAACATAAGTTCAGCTGGAGACATCCCTGATATTGCGTTTGGATTTGATGTTATTCTGTATATACTTAAAAACTGCTGTATATTACCATCATCTGTATTAGTACCATTTGTTTTTTAAGGGCTCTCTTGAACGTATCAACAAACCGCTCAGCCTGTCCATTTGACCAAGGATGGTACGGTGAAGTCGTGATGTGGTCAATTCCCAGAGTCTTACAAAACGTCTTAAATTCACTTCCTGTGAATTGAGTTCCATTGTCCGTGACAATTTTCTCTGGTACTCCAAAACGTGCAAACAGTTCTGTAAGAAAATCTTTTGTTACAGAAGCAGTTGGTCTTTTGCACTTAAAAATTCCAGGCCACTTGGAATAGCTATCCACAACTATCAAGTAAAAATTACCATTCATGGGTCCAGCATAATCTATGTGGAGTCTGGTCCATGAAACATCTGTTTTTGGCCATGGTGTGTATTTTACTAGCGGTGCTTTCGCTGGCATTTGACACCCTCTACAAGTTTTAACTACCTGTTCAATGTCTTTGTCCATATTTGGCCAATAAACATAACTCCTCATCAGGGCTTTCATACGTCCAATACCAGGATGCCCCTGATGAAATTCCTTCAAAATCCGCTTTTGTAGTACAACCGGTATCACGACCCTTCCAGCATATAACAGCACTTCATCACATATTGAATATGCTGGTGAAGAAGTTTTATACTTTTCTGAAGTTACAACTTCTTTCATTTTTCTAATAAAAATGTCGTTTTCTGCTTTTAATTTTATTTCATCTAATGTCACAGGCAATTCTTTTACTGTGTTATACATTACTTCAACCAATTCATTTTCTGCTTGTAACGACGCTATCTTCTAGCGGTTCCGAAGACGTTGGGATCAGTCTAGATAAACCATCAGCATGGCTTAATTTTTTAGACGATAAAAATTCCATCTTGAAATTGTAATTCAACAAAATGCTTCTCCATCGTTGCAAACGGTTTGCCGTATGAGTAGGTATACCCTTCTTCGAACCATAGATTGAAAGCAACGGGCGATGGTCGGTCTGCAATATAAACCTTCTTCCATGTATGTACTTATGGAATTTTTTACAAGCATAGATGATAGCTAAGCTTTCTTTCTCAATTTGAGAGTACTTCTTTTCTGCGGGTAATAATGTCCTTGATGCATGTGCCACTGGCTTCATATTGCCGTCTCTGAATTTATGCAGAATTACTGCACCTATTCCGTACTCGCTTGCGTCCAATGCCACTATAATTTCCTGTTTAGGGTCATAATGTGTTAGGGATAATTCCGACGTCAAAATATTCTTTATTTTGTCAAACGTCTTCTGACACACTTCTGACCATTCCCACTTTGCTCCCTTTTTAAGCAATTTATTTAATGGAGCCGTAAGGCTGCACAAATTAGGAATATATATCCCATAATAGTTAGCAAGTCCTAAAAACGCTTGTAACGTTACTACATTTTTGGGAGTTGGCATGCTTTTGATCGCTTCTGCCCTCGCCGGATCTGGTCTTCTTCCATCAGAGTCTATTATCTGCCCCAAAAACTTAATTTCACTCATAAAAATTCACATTTTTCAGCTCCAAGTTTGAATCCATATTCTTCAATTTTTTCAAAAACCTGCTTAATATGTTCCAAATGTTCATTTCGATCTTTTTATCAAAATATCATCAAGATATGCAATGGCGAAGTCCAACCCTGCCAGCACAGGGTCCATAATTTGCTGAAAAATACTAGGGGATACTTTTAAACAAAAAGGCAAACGGTTAAATTTGTATAAACCCTTGTGTGTATTGATAGTCAACAATTTAGAACATTCTTCGTCCACTTTCACTTGAGATAGGCATCCGATAAATCCAATTTAGAGAATATTTTTCCTCCACTTAAACTTGCAAAAATGTCTTCTGGTGAAGGCAAAGGATATGTGTGGTCTTTTAAGCAATCATTTAGACCCGTAGAGAAATTTTATTATTTTTTTTAACATATACAACAGGGCAGGCCCACTCTGAAAATTCAATGCGTGAAATAACTAAATTTTCAAGCCGTTCCAATTCTTTGTTAATCTGTTCCAAAACGCCAAATGGCACATTTCTTTTTCGTCTGAAAATAGGTTTACATTTTCCTTCACTTCAAATTTTGCCATCGTCTTTCTGCAACATCCAAGACCTTCTCAAAATACTTGTGGAAATTTTATTTCAGATCATTCACCAAATTCTGTAACCCGATTTTTACATGGAGAAGAAACATTAATACTATTGCAAAAAGAATTTATAGGGAGTTCCCATAAATTAAGAAGTATAATCCAATCTGTTCCAAACAAATTGGAAGCATTTTGTAGCACATACACTTTAGACTTTAGTGTCTTATCAACAAATGAAATATTACAAGAAAATTCACCTTGAAAATGCAATCTTCCAGAAATCCCGCGAGCCACTTTCAGTCTTTTTAAGCAAAGGTCTGCCTATTTTAATCCATGTTGCTGTATTAATAATTGGAAATATCACTTCCAGTATCTAGCTGTAGTTTAACATTTTTTCCATTAATTTTTACCTGTAAGAATTTTCTTTTCTGCCCCTCCTCAATCTCCTGACGTGACAATACAATATTCACATTATCTTTTTTCGACTTAAATTTTTTCTTTTGCTTTTACAATGAGTACTTATATTGCCTTTATTGCCACACGAATAGCAATTTTGGTCGCGAAAAAAACCCCCAAAAAACCACATTCACTTTTAAAATGACCACCACCGCATCCAAAGCACGTTGGTTTTTTA